GCGCAAGCGCATCCAGATCGTTGAGCGCGCTGCCCAGCTCAACATCAAGGTCACCAACGCCAAGGCCCGCGTCCGCACTGAGGAGAACTAAGTGCGCTGTCGGCGCGTGCGTGCTCGCATGCATCCGCGCACTTTGCTGGCGGCGGTTCACGTATGAGCGTATCCGGCGAAAGTGCGTCGTCCCACTTTGCCACGGTCGTCCTCGTGTCTGCGCGCTCTGGCCGTCCGGAGCGCGTGACGCCGTGTGAGGTGTGTACACCTTGAATGCATCTTCATTTGCCTTCACTTTGTGTTACATGTACACTAGTCGTCGTGAAAAGGGTCGGTAACATTGCAGTATGTGTCGATTGGGCACAGATCAGAGTAGAAAGACGCGCGTAGAGCACTGCTACCGAGAAACGTATGTGGAATACTATGATCTGCAGCGCTGTGGCCGCGACCTTGTGTGCACAACACCAAGCGTGCAATATCATCGTCTTGCAGGCTAGAATCGAAAACCGCTGCCAAAGCCACGGTAGGACGTGCTTGCAAGCGCATTGCCGCTCGCATTCACAGTCGTCTCTCGCGAGCCATCTGCCCGCTCGACTGTCGTAGTCTCGGTGCCCTGCGCATCGCACGTCAGCGACCGCTACCACGTAGCAGGACTGTTTACTTACATTGGCATCCACCGTCCTGGTGATAACAGTCCGCTGCCCATTAACCACGCTTACTGATTGCTGCCGGGACACGACGCGCGGCTCACCCGCCGAACGACTACTGCTCTGATGACTGACACTGGTCATCACCTGGCCGGGCGAGGTACCCTGGCCGGATTCTAGACGCTCGTGCGGTACACCAGCGTCAAACCCAGGGTGAAAGCCAAACGACTGTGTCTGGCCATGCAGTCCAAATGGACTTTGTGCAAAGAATGGATCGTTGCCAAAGAGGCTACCACCAAAGAGACCGCCAGCAAAGGGGCCGCCGGCAAATGGACCACCGGCAAACAAGCCACCTCCAAAAGGACTCCCAGCAAATGGACTGCGGGCAAATGGACTGCCAGCCGGCATTGTGCTCGCTCGCTGTTGAGCAAAGCCACCTATTGAATGCGCGAGGTCAGCTATGGCTAACCGCAAACATACGTGCTATCTAAGCCTACCATGAGTATGATTAAACATTTGTGCAAAGGCTGGATCGTGCGCAAAAAAGTTGCGAAACACATCAAACGGCGAGTGGAACTATGTAGCGAGCGCATCGGTTACTCGCTGCACACAGGCGTTGTCTGCCAGCATACACCTGCTACGCCATTTACCTGAAAATGTTCAAAGTGATAGCCAGCTTCATCTGCAACACTCAGACGCATGAGCCGCGCCCTTATCGCAGACACATGCGCCATCACGCGCATGCACATAATGCCCCGCGCCATGGGCCATTCACTCACCTTCTACAGGCACCTCGCCCTTCAGACCGGCCTCGCCATAGCGATCATAGACGCTACGCTTTTCCTCTATGGACAGACGTGTAAGTATAGGCAAGTAAAAAGCCCATCCTGATGAAACCTGAGCAACATACGGTCGTCCTGCACAGGTAAGCGCACTTACCGTCGCTAAGCACTTCGTATGCCTCTGCTATCTCACGAAAACGCTCAGTTGCCTGCTCGCGCTGGTCGGGCGGGTGCTTGTCCGGATGCCAGCGCAGGCTCAGCTTTCGAAAAGACTGGCCCACCTCTCTTGTCGTCGCTTCAGGCTCCAACTCCAGAATTGCATACAATCTAGTATGGCGAGCCATTGATACGTGTCACGCAGGCAACAGACGACAAGCAATTGACTTTTGCAGGGTTTTCCAACTTTTACAACAGCTGGCTGTTTGCTGGGTAGTGGAATGTGAGATGAAGCAAGGAATGAACGAAAGACGCAAGCGGCGCCATAAAGAGATTGTGGCGGTTGACGTCAACCAAGTTGCCTTTCCTACAGCGCCTTGTCTGCACACCAGCGTTGAGCTAGGGAAAGAGCCTTCTGGAAACAGCACCTTCACAGCACTAGCAGGTGGCACACGCAAGTAGCAGCGGACAAGGCGCGTAGTTATTTTCCCATTGAGAAAAGGATAATGCACAGGACAGTGCTGCCTTGCATTTGTGACCATGAGAATGCGGTCTGCGTGATGTGATCAAACGCAAATACAGGAGCGCCTTGTTTGAGTAAATTGGACCCAGCAAAGTCAAACAAAATGCGTAGTCTGGGAATCGAACCCAGGTCTACCGCGTGGCAGGCGGTAATTATACCACTAAACCAACTACGCTTGCTGATAAAGACTTGATTAAGGATAATACGCCTTAACTATTACAGATTAATGCAGAAAACAGCCTACGTTTTTTTAATATGCGAACGTCTAGTCTAGTGGTTAGCGCGCAGTATCAAGCTCGCAAAGCGCAGAAACTAAATTGGGCCGAAAATGACAAGTCCTTGCATATTTACAAATGGAGATAAACACTCATAAATAGTCTTTAGTAGCCAAAAGACTACTAATGGGTAACTCACTGAGCTTGTTAAATGTTGTACACCTGAGAACAGTCAGTCTACGGACATACATATTCTCTCAAACGCCATCTCCGCAATGCTGCAGCATATGTATCACAGGACGCGAATGGTGCGGAAAAGCGACATTGAATGGTGAACTCCTACATGCGTAAAAGTTACCACACGCCATACTGCTTGTTCGCCTTACCTCTATGCCATGCGCTAGTGCAGCAGGCATACTCTGTGGCCTGCACCGTATTCGTTAGGTATGCCGCACAGTGTGCTCCCATCATGTCAGGTGGCTGCGCGCTCACTGGCCCACAATGGCACGCACCATGTGCTCCTTACAGGACAGGATGTACTTACTGACTCAAGGAAATCCAAGCACTTTTGCTCCCTTCCACTTGGTCCGTGTGCTTGTACGTATCAACGAGCACTATGAGCACGCGGATACACCGGTTGGTTATGCCGCTTAGCTGACTCATGGACTTACTTGGCTACAAGCATTGTTCGTTGGCAGCTGCATCAACCATCGCCAATCGCACGGTGCAGCGGCCGAGTACAATTAGCGACCGCATCTTCATTTGTTGATGTCACGCTTGGCAGCATGTCTGGTAATTATGCTTTGACGACGGCCAGATAGGGGTGGCCGGTGGTCGGTGCACATAAAAATCTGTCTGAAATTGTTGCTGGTTCGGCCTAGTACGCTTCAGTTGTGTTAGTTAGCAGCAGCCCGAGCATAATTGTGACCGGCACACCCACAGATCCTTGTTGTTTACCACGACAGAATCTTCAACATTGTCATCGTAGATCTCGCACCCGCCCATACCAATCATCTGCCAACCATGTCGCGTCGTCTCTTTGAGCAGGCGGTCACTGCCTCTGGCATAACCACGCTACCAACACCGGATGGGGAGCGTATTGTACCGGGAACGCGTCGGCCAGACGGCACCATGCGCCCAACACGCCGAGTACGGCCTGGTTTTACACCAGTGGAAGATCAGCTACGCTTCCAGAGTCGGCGCGTTGCAGAGCGTCAATTACCAGCTGGCTATGTGGTGGGCCGAGATGAAATGCCGTCGTCTTCGCGTCCGCAGCCTGCCCGGGGTGGTAGCTGGTTTAAGCAGGATACGTCAACGGCCAGTCCACGCAGGGACGCCGCCAAGAGCGCATGGGACGACGACAGCGACGAAGAAGAGACGAAGGCGGAGAGTAGCGCGGATCTAACCAAGGCGCAGCGTAAAAACCAGAAGCGGACAGAAAAACGGGCGGAGAAGTTGCAGGTGCAGTACGAAGAGGACGTGCGTGCCAGTGTTGAGAGAGCACTGCATGAGCGACAGCAAACAACTGCTGCTACGTCCGGCAAAGATGAGGCTGCGGCGAAGGAGACTGTGGCAGACCCAGAGCGCAAGGCACGGGCGGTGCGCAAAAAGATCCGCCAGGCGGAGGAACTGCGCCGGCGACGCGATCAGGAAGGCACCAAGCTACAGGCGCAAGAGGTAGAGAAGATTGGCCGGATTGCCGAATTGGAGGCAGAGCTAGCGCAGTTGACGATCGCCATCAGCGAGCGCAAGAAATAGACGTTTGGCGTAAGAGGCCAGGATGCTGGTGGGAGCAGATACAGTAAAGTACGCAGTAACATGTTCCATTGACGTGTGCACATGCAAGCAATACATTCGCAACGTTTGTCCGCCAACATGCAGGTTGTCGACGTGTTTAACGGCTGCCCGGCTAGTCTTCCCCTCCAACGCCATAACGACTGTTGCATTGATCATGCAGCGTGTTGGTAAACCCAATCTAAACGCGCACTGACGCATCCCTACTAAATGGCGTACCTTTTCAGCTCCTCCAGCTCCTGCTCTTTCTTGGCCAAATTCATTCGCTTTGTCACCTTGTTGGGCTGATAGTAGAGCACGATCAGGTAGCGGCCCATCACATTGAAGCCAGAAAGATGCTCGCATGCTGCTTTGGCGTCGTAAATGTCCTCGTATACGACAAATGCTGTGCCTTTGGTATCGGTTGCTGTACCGCTGTGTCCGCCGCAACAACACCCTGCCGGTCAGTGGCAGTGCTGCCAGCCCAGGTCGGACCGCCAGCTCACGCTTACCTGCGGATCTGCCGAATCGCCCCGTACTTGCCAAAGATGTCGTACATCTCTTCGGCGGTAATCTTATACGGGAGATTACGTACCAGCAGAATGCGATTGACGTCCGGCGGCAGACGCCCCTTTATCCGGATAAAGCATATGCAAAGTAGCGTTAGCCGACGCGCGACGTGTCGATTGCACGATGCTGCAACTCGGCTAGCTGCTGCATGCGCGCTCGCAACTAGTCTCACTACTTACGCGCGCCTTGGACGCTGCTGCCATCGCCATCGTAGCGTAGTGTTTGCAGACGGACTGCTGTACTAGGCTGAAAGACGAGTTTACACCGAGCGCGCCGCAAAATAACGATGCACGAGAGATGTAGGCGAAAAAGAAACAACGTCGAGAGCGGATGGAAAAAGAATCGTCAGCGACAGGGTTCGAACCTGTGCGGGCAGAGCCCAACAGATTTCAAGTCTGTCTCCTTAACCACTCGGACACACTGACAAATCCATCTGAATTTAAAATTTCATATAACTGACTATATGCAATATAGCCCATTTTGGCAAAAAAGCGCCTTTAACGGCGTACTTGTGTTTGCGACGTGCTAGTCAGCGAACCGCTAGTCAGGCTGGGAGCATTTTACGCTCACGAGTCCACCGACACTTAATAAAACGTCAGTGGGATACTCCCCAGTAACCAAAAAAAAAAAAGCGCCTTTAACGGCGCTATACGTGCGTCCAGGCATCATAGACGTCAAGTATGCTTGCGGTATGAACATGAGTGGTTCGCTGTTTGGCCCGAGACACGAATTGCCTGCGAATTTGCAAACATTTGGTGGATATTAGCGGGATAGCAACTGGTAGCTGAGGAAACCATCATCGACATTTTGACGTTTACAACTGCAATATCCAGCGTACAGCCATCACTCACACAGGCGCATGTGGCTACCGCAACCCCATCTTTGCCCATAGGTGTGCACAACTTTGAAGGAATTGACGCATTGAAAATGTTTTATCTAGCTGTTGTATCCGTCAAACCCGCACGACCGCTGTCAGCGTTATGTCCCAGAGTTGTTATCACTTCCTGTTCGTATCTTCGTATCACTTCGTCATGTGGTGGCGGCATTTGCTTGAACTGTGTATAGGAGGGCGGTGGCGATGCTAGAGCAATGCTTAGCATCACATGATCATAACCTGTGGTGTGCTGATGGCTACCAGGTCGAAGGATATCAATGCGCCGCATTGTCTCTGTACGCTGCCGGCTAGCGCTTTGTATTTTCTGCTTTTCCCATGAATCTGAGAGCCGCTGAAGGTGTCTGAACTTGAAAATGTATACCTGGCGACAGCACGCAGCGTCTGGTTAGTGACGTGATTGCTATCGTTTGTTGATAGCAAACTGCTTTGTTGCTCACCCCTACGAGTGCCAGAGCAATCACCAGCGCTACGATGATAGGCCATGATAGCAGGCGCTTCGTCCTACTGTTAAACGAGGCCATAACAAGCATCAAGATGATGGCCAGCAGTATAATGCAAAAGGCTCGTAGGCAAATTTTCGTCCTTTGCAGTCTTTTAGCGTGCGGGTTTTTGGTATATGCAGCCTCCATCCATGACTTTTTGAGCGAACCAGCGCTGATTGTGTATGTGTTCCGGCTGAATAGACTGCCTTTTTCTGGCGATGGCTGATATGTTGCACTTACCCCGTCTATTGGTGGTTGGCCAAACGTTGCAGAGTACATACGCGCACTGCTATCAAAGCTGACTAGAGAAACTCGCTCCGCTTGCGCTGGTACGTCTTTTGGATGACCTGGCCGAGCGCTACTGGGAAATGGGGCTGCATTTTCATGCAGAGCATCGATAGGGCGTGTCGCGTCCGCGTTATGTGCCGTCTGCAAAGAAGCAGTCTCTACTTTTGCGCTGGTAAACATAGTCTTGATCGCCATCTCTGGCGCATCTGTAGTAATCAATGCCCGCATATCGGTGGGTGTTGATTGTGATAGCTTTGGCAGCGTCTGCACGTCGTGTCTGGCGTTTGGACCGAGTGCAAATGGGCTCGGGTGTGATAAAAGTACTGATATTTTGCAGCAGTCGTCGCAGTAGTCGTACCAAAGGCAAAAGGCGTGGTTGAAAAAGTATATGCCGGCTGTGGGGGATCGCTACCGAAGGATAATGGTATATAAGGCAGGGGCGGGAGTGGCAATAAACGAGGGGGTGCCAAAATGAAACGTAAAGACAACAGTGTGATATGTATGAAGCACAGCCGCGCAAAGTGCACGATACTTGCGATAGTCGGGGCCTCTGTGGCTCAATGTAGGCACTAGTGCACCCCGAGGTGGTCAAGCCAGACTGGCAATGTTTCTGATTCTGTTGGCTGGTTATGGCCGGACATTATGTGCTTAGTAGCGTGGGAGTTGCTGCAGCCCTGGTTTAAAGCGTGCTGTTGTCGCATGTTTACCCAGTCATGTATTAAATGGGTTGGTCAAAAAAACGCCCTGTTGTGGTTAGCCTGCGCTCTAACTACCCCGACAAAAGGGCTATTCTGAAAGCATGCTTGCTTTCAGAGCGCGGGTCATATTTAAGAGGTTATGTGGTTCTGTGCGTGTAGACACCACACAACCACCAAATGGTGCAGCCATGCAATGTTACCGCAGTTTTCTGCCGTTAGAATCGTCTTTTACATGTAATACCATCATATACTAGCAAGAAAACAACTTGCTGTATTGCCACCAATAAACATCATAAACACCTTATCAACATATGCTCAGCCGCATAGCCATTTAGGTGGCACATCAGTACGCGCTGCTTGGGTAAACCGCAACGCTTTATCGGCAGCATGTTCTGAGCCATTCAGACCGCTCACAGTTTACCGCTTCATGTCTGTCACACGGTTCCACCTGCGCCTAGTCAAAGCACTTGCGCCCAGAAATCGTTCATTTGGCCCCCTTTACGCAAACTTGCAACAGTGTAAAGTCTTGCATTCCAATACCAGTGTATCTCATAATTTTGTATGCGTGCCCCGCAAAGAAGCGAGGCAAAATCACTTGCTAACGAAGTGACGACTGTGTCCATCGTCGACAAGATTTTACACTGTTGCAAGTTTGCGTAAAGGGGGCCAAATAAACGATTTCTGGGCGCAAGTGCTTTGACTAGGCGCAGGTGGGACTGTGCGACAGATTTGAAGCGGCAAATTGTGGATGGCTCAAATGGCTTGGTAAGATGTAGAGACACGGAACGCGACGCAAAACGAAAAGTAAGGTGATGACAAGGTTCTGCAGTTGCCATGTCAGCACGTGCTATGCGTACGTCGATGATGCATTCATGATACTCAGACGGTGGAGATACGAAACGCTATCGCGCCGCTATATACCGATGGGTGATAGTAGAAGCAGGTCGATCCGGCGGTAAACAGTAGCAGTAATACGCATCTGCCACTGCTAGTGAATGATGCGCGACAGACTACAGCATATTGCATGGGCGTTGTGAGCTAAACTCTGCCGTACTAATCGACAGCATGACTCGCACAAACAGCTCGTGTTGCATAACTGCAAATCAGATACTCTATACATACGTATGACAAGCAAGTAAACAGGGCATACACCGATGGCGCTATCGTAGCTATGCACCACCTCTAATGACCGGCGGGTTTCCGATGGACTGCTGCTTCGACCAGAGTATGTTCTCCATATAGTCGACAACATGTAGGGGGTGGTTTTCGCAGACAGAATATTTCTTGCACTCATCGCAGTCACGTCGATCCCGATAAATATCGCACGGCTGAGCGGTTGGGTAGCAGCGGTCCGGGTAGGTAGCTTCCACGCACATGCTTGGGGGTTTCCATGTTGTACCCTCAAGTGTCTTTTTCCACTGATGGACAGACGGATACATGCCACTGATTTTCTAGTGATCAAGGTGTACACGGTGCACTTCTGATCCATCTATCAAACTTAATAAGGTGATCCTTGGATATGTGTGTAAAAGCAATAGGCTGTGGGACACAACTGGTTGCATTAGGCCGACTCTTCCTGCCCATGTCCACTTTTTCTTCAATGATATGCCAGCTGTACCTTCGGCTGCTTCTACTAACACTAGATCTCGTGACAACAAAGTGCTATTCTCATGTCTACTTTTGCCGTCCACGATGAATCTATTGTCGTCGATGCGCAGCGGTAAACTGTATGCGCGAATGCCTTTTAGCCTTAATTCCACTTCGTGCACCAACGGTTGCATTTGGCCGGTCATAATCTGTCGAACTTTGATGATGGATAACCAGTCCCCAGGGGAATCGTAATTGCTCACAGCCCAGGCAAAGCGTATTCTGTCAGTTTCTTCACTCAGGATGCACGATTTAAATGGTTCATCATCCCCATATGTGAAGCGACGATTGCTGGTGAGATCGTATACTAGTAGAGTTGGTGTTCCAGTGCTTCCTTGTGTGCAATACCTGGCCAAAACCCAGTTTTCATATACGTCCACGCAAGGCGTGTGAGAGCTAATCACAACCTGTTGGGGTAATTTGTGGAGCGCATCGAGATGCCAAGCGAGCACAATGCTGTTTTCTGAGTAACTTTCAGTCAATACAGGCAAATACTCGTCCGAGCGCCGTATACTTTCGAAATACAGCTTATCAAACTCTTTTTCATCACCTAGCTCATCCTTGTAAACAAAATTATAGTATGGCCTTTCTAGGAGCCACACCGGTTGCTGCTGAGACAGCAGTAGCCGCTGCGACGCGACCAATGTACTGGTTCGAAACATGAGAGTCTGAAGGCGGGTGCCGCGTGGAGGAGAGTCGGCTACTTTGCTAAGGCAGTGCTTCAAGTATTGACCATGGTGCCAGCAGTACTCGGTAGCGCAGCGCTTGCTGTAGGCGTCGAACCGGTCAAGTTGAAGATCTCTGCGTGAGATTGACGTATCACGGACAGCGCTGTTGTCATAAGCCTCAGGATGGCGCGCCCGCGTATACTGGCGCAGCCACTCTTTTTCGTTGTAATCTTGCGATGAAAACTGCTGCTCAAAGCGTTTGCGCCATAGACTCTGCTGACAAGACACGCGGGCGCACCATTGTCGAGACGTACAGGCCAACAGAAACAGCGCGTTGTCGTCAACTGCCTCAATAATGTGACCAAGCACATCTTCTGGTAGGCGATTCATGGCAGCATAAATGAATACAGCGCGGCACTGATTCGCAAAGCAAACCAGTAATGATTGGCGGTGAAGATGGACAAAACAGGTGGTGACGAAAGCAGGGCACTTGAACACACGTACGCTTCTATTTATGTTGGCGGTAAAGCACCGTATCAGTGTCATATGATGCCTTGCTCGCAAATAAAGATTTGGATACTTTATGGAAACCGTGTATGCAATCGCAGCGTTGTTGCTCTGTCAGGCGTCAGATGTCGGATGTCGGATCGAATAACCGTCCGCCATCATATCCATATACGTGAACGCAATCTTCTACCTTCACCATAGGCTTGCGTGCAACCACGTAGCTGTTTGAGTCTCGTCATT